GACAGCACACAGTGACAGCACTGCACACAGCGACAGCACACAGCGACAGCAGAGCCATTCTGCGGGAGAAACACAAGGCAGGCTGTGTCTGTGCAGATTCTGCTGCCTGCAGGGCTGCTGGGTGGGAATCAAGTCGCTGTGACTGGGTTTGGTTTGGGTGGGTCTTGGGCCTCCTTCCCTCAAGCGGGAACATCCCACTGCGGTAAGGAAGAAGGGAGGAGCCTGCAGCTACTGCGCCCACCTTCTGACCCCTTCCCACTCACGTGTGGTGGGGACGCGGTGCTCTTTGTCCTTACATTGGGAGACTTGTAGCTCTGTGTCCAGATGTGCTCCTGGCTCTGCATCTAAGCCATTCTGTCCTGAAGCTGCTGACCTGTCAGAGCGCCCATGTGTTGGGTTCTCTGTTGCTCCCGTCAATGCCATCCTTCATTTCCCTGCTCCCCGTGCCCACCAGCATATGTGTCATGGACTGGGGCTGGCTGGGGATTCAGCATGTCCTGCAGCCTGCCCTTGTGGGACTCCTGGGGGCACTCTGTGCCCACAGCCAAGCTGTGGGGGTGGGAACCCCCATGAGCAGGAGGTCTTTCTGCTCTTTGCTTGCATTTCTTCTCAAGTCCAAGGAGCAAAACACAGTGACAAGGTAGATCTGTATGTGTGATGAGGTACACTTTTTATTTTTATTGGGAAAATGGTTGAGAACAAAGCATTTGCCAAGTCAATAGGTTTTACACGTAGAGTTCAGTGATTCCGTCTTGGTGCTGTGCTGTCTTCACGGAACCACGTTAGAAGCAAGGCTGGTGACCCTGTATCTCACCTCCACTGGACATGTGGTCAGGAGGGACCAGGCCCTGGAGAACGACCTCAGGCTTGGTAGAGGGTTAACGCAAGAAAGGACGATGTGCGAGGAGATGGACTGACGCAGTAGTCTGACAGTGGGTTCACACATGGCCGTGACTGTGAGCATGGCCACTGTCTCGTTCTGCTGAACGCACGGTCACTCTGGGTTGGAACCATCTCAGCAGTACCTCACCACGGTGCTCCACTGTTCTACGGGGTTGATGTCCTTTTGGGGATAATCGTCTTGCCTTTGGGCAGCGTTTCATCAACTGTTGTGTTAGGCTTTTAGATGCTATAGTATTTGAGGTGTTACGGACTGGAATGCTCTAGACACTGAAGAATCTTTGTCTCTCCAGTCTGCAGGTCCAGGAGAGGTGACTAAGAAGTTCTCAGATGGATCATTGAAAGACCCCAAGGCGGACGTGGAGGTAAAGCCATAGGCACATGTAAGCTGTCTGGATGGACACTGAGGGGAGCTGGCCAGTCTGCTCCTGGTCCCCCACTCAGGCTCTGGCTTCATGGGGGACTCTTAGGATGCGTGTTGGACAGTTATCTGTCCAGAGTGGTGTCCGGTACACAGACTCGCCTCTGGTACACAGGGTAGAGTGGCCATTTAGATGGAGGGTCGAGTGACACGGAAGCTGAGTCTAAGCCAGGATTAAGTCACCAGGCAGGTGAGGAAAGGGAGGGCCAGGTGGACGGACCCCTCCCTGCTCTTCTGGGCCGGGGTCACGGCCAGCACAGGACTCTGCAGTGAGGTTGGGCCAGTCACCGTTTGTAGGTCACACTGGACCCGGAGCATCGAGCCATTGAAGGGCTCCAGCCAGCTTTCACAGTCCAGTGCGCATTTCAGCCAGCTGCAGGGGAATGACGGGTGGGAGTGGGCACTCGGGCCAGTGAGGGGGCCTCGTGGCCACTTGATAGAGGGCACCGGCAGTTCTGTGCTCTGGGAGGGCCGCGGCATGGGATGAGCTCGCGCTTCCGCTCTGCTTAGTGTTGGGCACAGCGTGTCGTCTCAAACGTCCACATTTTCACAGAGGCTCTTAAGTTGAGTTTGGAGGAGCGGAGTCCCTCCGAGACTCAGGACGGAGCCCTTCCGTGCCTGCCGCAGGGTGTGGTCAGCAGCTTGCTGCCCTTTCTCAGGCTGTTCGGGCCCTTGGATCCCTGGTGCTGGGCGCCGGTCCCCTGCATGTTCACACTCGCAGGCCCCGTTGACGGTGCCTCCCAGCCTGCAGTGTCCAGTGCTGCATTGTGCCCTGTGCCTGCTTTTCCCTGGCCTGGCCGGACAGGCAGCATGGACAGCTAATCGCCGCCATTTTTCTGCTCTTTAAGGCAGAGGTTCCGAAGGCAGCCAGGTCGCTGACGATGAAAGGCTCCAGGCGGAGGTCCAAGAGCTCCGTGGAAGGTACTGGGCGTTCTCTGCGTGTTTGTGTCCGTAATCGGTGACAGGTAGGAAGGACCCGGGGTCTCGAAGATGGGTCTGCCGTGGGAATGGACGTGCAGTGAGGCTGAGGTCAGGTGGTTGCTGGGACACCGTCTGCTCGTGTGTGCACACTTGGCACGTGGGCAGAGCTGCAGCTCCTGGGGAGACCTGGGTTGGAGGTGTGGGGTCTGTTGGGAGGTGTGGGCCCAAGTATCTGGCTGGTCTCCCTGGCTCTTGCCGCCAGCACTGCTGAGCAGGGTGGACAGAGAGGACTTCCAGGCAGCTGCCCTCTGTGCATTTAGACAGAGAAGTGTTGGGTCTCTCAGAGGACAGGTTCCTGGGGGTCCTGCGGTCTCGGGCGCATGCGCCTCTGCTGTCCCCTGCGTCCAGCCTCTCCTGTTTACAGCTCGGCTGTTTTGGTGGGGAGAAGCAGAGAATGGCCTTCAGCGGAGGGGTGTTTGTCCTGGTTTGCTGGTCCTTTTCTCCTGTGCCACGTCTGTGCTGTGGCTGCCCCTCCTTCCCGCCTCTGACGAGGCCGAGGGCTCTTTGTTCACAAGGTCTGCTGCTCCATTCTGAGTGGGTGTCTGTTTTTCTTTGAATATATTTATTTTTTTTCATTGTTGAACATTTTCCTTAACCTGCAGTGTTCCTTGTTCCAGGTGGTTGTCATACAAGAATACCTAGTCATAGATTCCTTTCAAACAGTTCTTTCCCCCATCTTTTCCCGTGCAGTGTTACATTGACTGTCCGCTCTATTCTCTCTCCAACCCTCCCATGTCGGTCCTATTTTATAACAGTGGTGTATGCAGTGTTTTTCATTTTGTTACAGATATTTCATTCGGCATAATGCCCTCCAAGTTCCCTCATGTTGTGTAATATTTTACAGGTTCGTGGTTTTTTTCAGTGCTGTATAACATTCCATTGTGTTTTTCCATTCATTTGTTTGTTGATGGGTGCTTGGGTTGCTTCCATCTCTTTGCTATTATGAATAATGCAGCAATAAACACGAATGTGCATACATCTGTTTGAGTATATTTTAGGGTATATTCCCAGTAGGGCAGTTGCTGGGTCAAATGGTATTTCTATTTCCAACTTTTTGAGAAAGTGTCAGATCGCCTTCCATAGTGGTTACATCCTTTTACACTCCCACCAGCAGTGAATAAGGGTTCCAATTTCTCCGTGCTACTGTCTCAGCAGCATTTGTTGTTTGCTGCCCTGTTGGACTTTACTGTTGTTCCTGGCATGAGATGGTATCGCATAGTTCTTTTGATCTGCACCTCTCTGATAGTTGGGAATTTTGAATATTTTTTCATGTGCTTGTCATTTGAATGTCTTCTTTGGTGAAGTGTCTGTTCATAGCCTGTGCCCATTTTGTAAGTGGGTTGTTTATCTTTGTGTTGTTGAGGTGCTGGAATATTCTCTAAACTTGAGCTTTAAGCCCCTTATCAGATATGTGATTACACCCACCCCACATCCCCAAGTCTGTGGCTTTCCTTTTCACTCTGTTGGAAATGTGTTTTTTTGTTGTTGTTGTTGTTTTTGGAGATGTGTTTTGATGTGCTTAGGGATTTGATTCTTAGAAGGTCCCATTCGTCTGTTTTATTCTTTCCTGGTTTTGTACCATATGTGGTGTTGTTTTTATTTAAATTTAAATTTATTATTGATTTCAGTAAAAATTTACAGAGACTTTGGATCTCCATTCATTCATTGTTGTACTTTTCTCCCCTCCCAACCCTCCCCCCTAGTACACTACCCTCTTGGAAAAGTAAAAGACAGATTCTTTCATTGTTTTACAAACCCTCCCCCAGGTCCACTCCACCATGTAGCCTTTGCTCTAGATTCCTGTCATGACAAAAATACCTAATCACATATCCCTTTTAAATAGTTTTCTCCCTTATCTGTTTCAATGCAGTATACATTATTGAACCCATCTTTCTCAGTCTCCCCCCAACCCTGAGGTCAGTCCTGTTTTATAACAGTGGCACCATGCAGTATTTGTCCTTTTGTAACTGGGGTACTTCACTCAGCATAATGTCCTCCAGGGTCACTCATTTTGAATAGTATTGCATGAGTTCCTTGTTTTTCCATGCAGCATAGTATTCCATTGTGTGAATATACCACAGCTTCTCTATTCATTCATTAGTTGATGGACACTTAGGTTGTTTCCAACTCCTTGCTATTGTGAATAAAGCTGCAATAAACATGGGTCTGAATATATCTGCTTGGATGCCAGTTATGGTCTCTTTGGGGTATATTCCCAGTAGTGGAATTGCTGGGTCAAATTGTATCTCGATTTGTAACTTTTTGAGAAAGCGGCATACTGCCTTCCACAGTGGTTGCCCCATTTTACACTCTCACCAACAATGAATAAGGGTTCTAGTTTCTCCACAACCTCGCCAGCATTTGTTGCTTGCTGTTCTGTTAAATTTTGCTATTCTGACTGTTGTGAGATAATATCTCATAGGTGTTTTGCATGTGTGTTTTTTGAAGGAAGTATTTGTTTCTTGTATTTTTTTTTTTTACTTTGTTTCCTTTGATGGTATTTGGTGGTGTTTTGACGTGTCTGAGTCTGAGGTGTTAGGTGCTTGAAGCTGCTGGTCTTCAGGAAAACGACGCAGACCTTTGAGGGTGGAGGGTGCTCTGCCCAGCAGTGTGTGCTTCATCCTCTGGTCACCCCTTGGCTTAGTTGACACTCTGGTCCCGCATTGATTTTTTTCAGGGTGGTGTTAGCACTGCTTATCTGAGGGTCCCTCACCATCTGTCACACCCTCCTTCCTGATGAGATGTGCCCACATGCCTTTGTCACCCTGAGTCCTTTTTAAGTTTGTGGCATTATGTTTTACAATGACTTTCCTCTCATT